CCCCTCTCTCTCTCTCTTTCTCGCTTGCTAGATCGCTCTCCCTTTCAATGTCCCTCTCTGTCTCTGTGTTCTTTTATCTGCCTAGGTCTCCCCTTCCTTATTTCTCTATCTGCCCGTCTGTCTGCCTGCCCGTTTGCCATTCTCTCTCTCCCTCTCACTCCCTCTCTCTCCCTCTCTCTCCCTCTCTCTCCCTCTCTCTCTCCTCTCTATTTCTCTGTGTGTGTCTCTCTCCATGTTCTTCCATAAAAGCTTCCACGCCAAGAATTTTCGAGACATAATTATACTTAATTTCCCAACAACTTTGTCCAACGCCAGATCATGGCGGAGATTTGAGTAAAAAGTTATCTTCATTCTGAAGTTAAAAATTTTTTTTTTTACCGAATTGATTTTAATTTTTTGCCAACTTCTCTTAGGACTTTCACACAGTTTTTGTTCACTCTAAGATACGTCATCGGCTGTCCCAGGCACGCCCTTTGTGTCTATTTCAGCGCAATCATTTCAACGTCTCATTAAACATTTTAGCTCCTCGTGACAGGCAACAAAAGCAACAACAAACAAACAACTACCAACCCCGCCTTCCCCCCACCTAAAAAACCCAACAAAACAACAACAACAACAACAACAACAACAGCAACAAAACACAACAAAAACGACAAACCAAAAAACCCCCCCAAAAAGCCAAACAAAACAAACTGTACTCTAAAGTCTCTTAGACTGTCTAACCCAAAAGGTGGGAGCATTTTTATAGCTTTCTATCTGTCAGAGAAATTGCGCTAGGCTTTAAAATCACAGCGATGAGGTCTTTATTGCTGTATTCTGTAGGTTCTGCAACAGCCAGGGAATCCGGTGTGAACTCAAGGGGACATTTATATGTAACACCACACTTCTGGAGAAAGGATCTGCCTCTTTAGAAGGCGAAGGTGTTTTCTGAATTTTCTGTCAGTTTACTTTCCCTCTCATTCATTCTTTCTTTCTTTCATTCTTTCTTTCTTTCATTCTTTCTTTCTCTCTTTCTTTCTTTCTTTCTTTCTTTCTTTCTTTCCTCATGGACACAATATATATTATATCGGGGATATGTAATATTTATGTGTACTATCTATCTACCTAATGTATTTGTTTATCTATCTCACAAAAAACAACAACTAATAAGTCTAAATTTACACAATTCGGGAACCGCAGGTTTAAAGTGTAAACATTCCCACAAGATCGAAGTCCAGTTTACGTATTTTATTAACGCTGCCACTACCATGATATTCTTATCCTATTCTAGATGGACAGCTTGTGTCTTTGATGCAGCTGGTTTGCCGCCTCACTGTCGCTCACAGGAGATTTCAGTTCGATTCCCGTGTGGAGAGTTTTATTAAGTACTTCGGTCTTCCTGCTAGGATATTGTATCCCTCTCACCCCGGGTTGACCCATGCAGGCAGGGTTGTAAGCCCGCCTTCTATGATCTAAATTGTGTCTATGGGGGTGTAGAAACGTCTATATTAACAAAAAATATGTAGATGGACACAACTATGAGGGGTGCCGTCTCATAAATAGCTTTACCTCGTATCTTCTACCTTCTCCTTAACCCTTCGAGCCCTAGCCAGCGGTGAACAGGTGAGCGAGACCCTATCCCCAACATGACTCGTCTGCGACAAAACGCGTGCGGGAAACCGTGTTTACAACACAGGACGTTATTAATTATTTTGAAGATCTTCCCGAATAAGATGCTGGCATTGACGAGGACTACCCTGAATGGGATATGGAATGTGATTCTGACTCTAATATGAAGGTTAGTTATATTGTATCTCTCAGGAGCTCAGGCAGAGGAGCATGGTGGCACCAGGAGGTCAGAGCTCAAAGGGTTAATGTCTGCAAGTGATGCTGTTGGAGCTCTGATGACGCTGACATAATAACAGATCTTCATCGTTCACTGTCCTCTGCTGTCCGTGTTGCCTCCGTTTAGCCCAACTGCGCTGAAAAAGGTGTTAAAATAAGCAAACCACGTACATTTTTCTACAGTGACGGCCATCTTATCCGCTTCGTGTCGTGCCTGGAGGAACTAGAGAGTCTGTGTGATGGCAACAGTTCTAGTGACAACGTCCTGAGCCGACTGGTCAGTGCAGAGAGGGTTAAGGAAGCCGTACCAACTTTGTGCAAACATCAGGACGGTATGTAGGCGCATAGTTGTACCCTCACTTAAGAGGATATAAATAGAAAAATATAATTATTCTTAGGTCGTTGACCCTAACCTTATCACGTTATGACGCAGTGAGTGTTGGCTGGTAGAAAAAAAGGTTGTTTTGTGGGTGTGTGTGTGGGGGGGGGGTATCGTTATAATTAAATATCATTTCCTTCCCGATATGCTGTTTGTTTTTTTCCAAGGTCCTTTCATACGCTCAGAAATTATTTTAATGCAGTAAAGTGTTCCTTTTCATTATTTTTAGCAAGGCTTCCTTTGATATCTTTGTCTAGTGATCTTTTCACTTGGGCACCCCTAATGCTTCCTTTTGTTTTCCAGGGCATGATATTCCTTCGGGTGTCACCGAGAATCCTTGGCTCCTGTCATCGATCTTTTCGGTTCCATTCTTTCATAAGACGGCAACGTGGCACTTAGAGAGATACCTTTTTTCTATAGCGTGTCTTGTTTCGTAATAAACTGACCCCAGAGCTATTTAAAGTTCAGTTAATTCAAGAGTTAAAAAATATCCCAGTTTGTTTCTTCTATTCCCTTGCCTTGAGGTTGTTGCTGAGTTAGGGCGCATATGATCTATCTATCTGTTTAACTATCTATCTATCTATCTATCTATCTATCTATCTATCTATCTATCTATCTATCTA